ACTAGTTTTACAGAAAGTATTCTATTTTATACACGTTAAGCCAACTAAGAGGTTTCAGTGGAAACACTAGTTTTACAGAAAGTATTCTATTTTATACACGTTAAGCCAACTAAGAGGTTTCAGTGGAAACACTAGTTTTACAGAAAGTATTCTATTTTATACACGTTAAGCCAACTAAAGGGGTTTCATTGGAAACACTAGTTTTACAGAAAGTATTCTATTTTATACACGTTAAGCCAACTAAGAGGTTTCAGTGGAAACACTAGTTTTACAGAAAGTATTCTATTTTATACACGTTAAGCCAACTAAAGGGGTTTCATTGGAAACACTAGTTTTACAGAAAGTATTTTTATTTTATACACATTAAGCCAACTAAAGGGGTATCATTGGAAACAAATGTTTCAGAGAAAGTATTCCACTGTTTATTTAAAAAGATCAGTTTTGTACTTTTCTACAGGATTTTATGAGATTCTGTATGGTACAAGTATGCTTTTACCTTGGATAAAGCAGAAGTGTGCTGATTTCTCATTCTCACAAAGCCCAAGTGTCTTGGTCTTCAGTATGGTTTTAGTCTTAAACTCACATTTCTTGCCTGGAGTGAGGGTAGAAAGGCCATTTTATTGATATCTTCCTAGGTTCTCTTATCATACTCACAGATGTTACATTTTCTAAAACTGTCTACACTTTATGGCCTGTCCACTATTTCACCTTATCTGGTCTAACTGTTCAGTACAAATCCTATGTAACAATATACTGACTCACCTCTCTCTAGCATCCCACTTGTACATGTAAACACTTCCTACATTGGACATTCCCTTTAATTCCTTTGCTTCCAGTTCTTGAAAGCTGCTTTCCCCTATATCCTTTCGTGACTTAAAGTAAGTGTCTTTATCACAGATTATTCTGACATGACTATAGTATACCATCAGCCGAGCCGCCAGGTTTACCTTCCGACCAATCACTAAACATTACAAATATTAGAATATAATGTCAAACTCGATTGAATATTTTAGTTAGGTAAGAAAAAATTCTTAATATATTTCAGAAAGACTTCCAAGATTTCAAATATTTATAAAAACAAATCCAATCAATTCATTTTTTTTGGAATTTTTAGTAAATGTTTGACTCATTAAATTACAGTGAAATAGACCTGCAACAACTTTAATATTCCGAAAAAGTAAATAACATTTTACAAGCATATTGCAACATTCACTGAAACTACACCTCTACAGATGTAATTAAATATAAAATATTTCCCATTATTATGCATCCTTTAACAGCAACAGATAAGTTATTCAACAAAGAATATTACTCTATCTCACCTGTGTATTCTTGTCGGTGTGGATGGCCAACAATACCACACAGAGTATTTCCTGTTGTAATACCAATGGACGAGTCTCTGTGTTACAAAAATGTCATGTTACTTTCTCTAACATATTCTTATGCACTTAACTACTCCAATCAGCAATTATTTATATTCACAACATCTCTTAAGTCAGGTATAGCTTCCACAGAGTAACTACTTCTACTAACTCCACCATACGGTGATAATTATTTACAGTACATCTAGTAATTCTCTTACCACTAATAACATTTACTAACTCCATCACACAGTGATAATTATTTACAGTACATCTTGTAATACTCTTACCAGTAATTACATCTACTAACCATGTACATCAACTACTTCAGATAGTATTAACTACTTCTACTAACTCCACCATACAGTGATAATTATTTACAGTACATCTTGTAATACTCTTACCAGTAATTACATCTACTAACCATGTACATCAACTACTTCAGATAGTATTAACTACTTCTACTAACTCCATCACACAGTGATAATTATTTACAGTACATCTTGTAATACTCTTACCAGTAATTACATCTACTAACCATGTACATCAACTACTTCAGATAGGATTAACTACTTCTACTAAGTACATACTATTAGTTGGAAGAAATATTGTATAATGTACAGTCTAATGATCAAAAATGGTAGTTTCTTGCTTGTTATGAGTCCTGAGTGTCATTAAAGACATAATAAAAATATACAATGCTATTTATTTATTAATTGTTACTTTTATAATAAAGGAATACAACCTACATCTGTATTAACATATAATGACAGATATATGAATGAATTACAATGTTGCTAAATATATATATGTACACATAGAAATAAACCTGTAAATTTTTAGTGTTAGAATCCGTGTACTGCTTTAGTATGACAACACATCATTAAACTTGTAGCAGTGTCATCTAAATTTTTAAATGACTGTTAAAACTATGTTAACTTATGTTGACGAACATATGTTAATCTTCAAACCTCAAAGTTTTACTGCTGAATCTGTATTTAAATCAACATCTACAGTAGTTTGATTGTGGCACAAAACCTACCACCTACTCAAAGTTTTACTGTTGAATCTGTATTTAAATCAATATCTACAGTAGTTTGATTGTGGCACAAAACCTACCACATGGATTCTGCAGTTCAATATAATGTTCACTTGTAGCTAAATAAAAAAATAACTGGATGTTTCCGTATGTCACTTTACGGTGTGTTGATAATATACAAAATTACTATTTCATACAAGAATATCTATCCATTTACTTACAGAGATAAATCCACCAGTGCTTTAGTCACTTTGGCAGCACACTGTAAAGCACTAGCACTGTCATTCTTCTGTTTAAATCCTGGGAGCCCAAATACTGCTAAGAAAGTGCAGCCCTAAAGAAGTATATATAAGAAAACACTGGAATATCAGATTTTTTCCCTTTCTTTTAGTAATTAATTTCTTCTACCGGTTTCGTGACTTCATAGGTCACTATTCAGGAAATAGTTTTACTGAGAATCTATAACAAAAAACATACAAATATGGCCGTGTTTGTTTGTTGAATTCTGCTCAAAGTTGCTCAAGGGTTATCGGCACTATCAATCCCTAATCTAGAAAAGATCGACTAGAGGGAGGAAAATAATCAACAAAAATGTCCCCACAACTGAAAGGATGAGCAAGGATTTGAACTTAGCTGTGACCCACAGATTTTGAGTTGATATATATATATATAATTACCAGGCTATGCCAGGCAGCTAAATATATATGTTTATGTCATAAAAATTGTACATAAAATTAATTTCTGTATAAAACATAATAATAACAATTGTTTTACCTACTGCTCCATTTATTTGGGTTATTTTTTCTTTCTTTATGGCATCATGCCAGTTCTTGTTACACATTAAAACACATGTATGTTTTCCAATTTCTTAATTTCTACAAATTTTATACCAGTAGCTATGGCATTGATTTAACAACAGCATCTCTAGCACAACCAACAAAACAGAGCTATCTCATAATTTATAAAAACCAATTTAATAATTTAACTTAAGGAAAATGTAAACATCATCTACAAGAAATCTGTGAACATACCCCTAACAGTGATATTTTGAAATTTTGTAGTTACATTTTAGTGGATCACATTTTGTTTTTAAATATGAAAAAAAGTGTGTGGATTTCTGTTTTCCTTTTGATGCATAAAAATACTTCACCTAATGAGAGAATCTATTTAGAACAATTTCAGACCATTACCAATCACCATTTCTTTCTTGCTTTTTGAAAAGCTGCATATGTTGCTACTTAAGTGACTGTGTGGTTGGTACATGTTTTTGATATATTGCTGTGTTGTTTTAAGTTCTGAGGTAATGGAGTAAATACAATGATTTAAACGTCATTCACAAAATAGTAAGGAACTCTGTACGATTCTAGACTGTATTATCAAACTATAGAAAGTTCACATACCTTATCAAACATCACAGCTTTATTCAGAACTCCTAAAGGACACACAAATAATTATATTAACATAAAAATATCATGTTAAAGATAATTAAAAACTGGTGAAAACGTATGTTAACTCTGCTTGGGATTGACTGAATTTCCCAACAAAACATCGAAAATTAATATTAGGTCATCAAGAAATTAATATTGCTTTGTTTTAGATGAAAAAACCTGAACAACTTACATATCAAAACAAAACATTTATTAAATGAAATTGTCTCCATTCTTATTGATGATGCTTTTACATCTTACAATCAAGTTATTTATGCCCTGATTAAAGAAATTAATTGGCTTTGATGCAAAAAACATATCGATGTCCTCTTTAACACCTTCCACATTTGCATACGTTTTCCCATTAAGATGGTATTGCAGCAAACGAAAAAGATAGTAATCTGATGGTACCATATCTGGGGAATATGGTAGGAGGAGGAGAACTTCCCAACCCAACTCTATAATCTTGTGGACGTGCATTGTCGTGAAGAAAAAGAACATCTTTCTGATTTTCAAGTGAAGGGCATTTCTGATGAAGGTCTTGATTTAAACAGTTGCTGACTGTAGATCTCTGCATTGACAGTTTGCTGTGGATTGAGAAGTTCGAAATGAATTACTCCTTTGATGTCTTACCAAATGCAAAGCATCACTTTTTGCAAATGGAGTCCAGGTTTTGGAGTCAGAAGTGGTTTTTGTCTAGGACTATGCAATTGTTTTTAGCATTTAATATTCGCATAGAGAATCCATTTTTCATCACCGTTGACAATTCTGTCCAAAAAATGGTTCATGCGGATTATGTGCCAGAAGAGACGAAGCAACGTTCACACGTTGGAAACGATGATCATCGGAGGGTTCTTTATGGAGTTTTCCCATATTACTTAGATGTTTACATATTGTTTCATGAGAGACATGCAATTTCAGGGCCGTTTCATGAGTGTGTTGCCTTTGGTTAGACTCAACAAGCATCTTCAGAGCATCAATATCAATTCCAAAATGTTGGCCCTAGCATCACAGTTTTTAAGGCTAAAATCACCAGAACGAAATTTGCTGAACCATCGTTGACACTTACAAATGTTCAAAACATTTCCATAAAGTTCTTTAATATTCCTTGTGGCTACAGAGGCATTGTTTCCCTTCTTGTATTCAAACAGCATTACATGCCGAACATGTATTTTATCGTGTGCTATCACTATAAGGGATTAGAGTATACTAAACTTTAAACATTGTATAGGCTGCACTAACGTGAAGTTTTGGCAGTTCGTTATACCATTATAAGTGATGTATGTTTTTTGGGGGTGGTTAATGAAAGTGTTCCAAAACGCGACATTAATTTCTTGACGACATACTACAAATTATGACAGAAGACCAAATAAATCTCATGTACTAATTAACATAATATGGAGCACATATATGGAAAATACTGACTTACTTAATTGTAATTTATAAACAATAATGACAGAAATAATACATTATACACCACAATTCTGTCATACCAACAATATTTAATACTACACCCAATGGAAGACTATTGCAGTTTGATTTTGAAAACGCTTTAAAAGATAAAACAAAACTAAGTGTATATTTTTTGTAGATTTAGCTAGTAGCTCTAACTGAAACCTACCACCTGTCTCATTGATGGGGGTGTAAGATGCTGTAAAAACTGAGCCTATCAGCTCAACATCTGAAACATCAATATTTGGAAGACTGATGAAGACTATAGTAACTTGCCTCATCTCTGACATGAATTCCAGTTGTCTTAAACTATCAATCTAAATTCAAGTTAGAAAAGCAATGTCAGCTTTAAGTAAAATAACATGCCATGATGTGCATATATGAGGTTATAATACAAACTGTCAACAGATCATTTTTATACAGGATAAAATAAAACATAAAATATTATAAAACTAGCTATTTACAGATAAATTTTATAAAGGATAAAAAGAAATTTTATATAATTAATTAAAAAATATATTTCTACATGCATAATACTTTATTTCCAATAATTATGCCATTATAAACTTCATTTCTGTAGTTTCTGAAAGCTGTTTTAAAAATTATGCAAAAATAAGACAGATCATAATCATAAATACCTGTCCGCTGAGAACAAATGAGAGAGCATACCCATCTTATGAAAACTGACAATGTCAAGTTTTTATAAAGGCCAGATTTTTTACAGTAGGTGTCTGTGATTTGTTGGTGATAAATTTCAACAATAAACGGACAGCACACAATCCACTTGTTTTAAAATAACATATTCAAAACAAGTCAAATGTATTTACAAAAAAAAATCGTTACACTATTGGTTACCACAGTTCTATCCAGAACTTTATATAATTATTTCCTCTTCATCAAAGTCCACACAAGCAGGTTCAGTTACTTTAGAACACCCTTTGACAAGACATATTATTCTCCTTTATCTCTGTTATTATAATACAAACTGTGAAACTCTCACATTATAAATCACCCATTATGACTAAACTGATAACCATGCAGTCTAATAACTTCACTAACGTAACTTTCCTTTCACTAATTTGCTTTTTGTTTGCACTGTATCTGCACTTATTTATAATATGCAACAGAAAAATCTCAAAATACCTAGCCCTCTCGTAACAACATTATACATAAGGAGAAAAACTTTGAACAATTAAACTACATACACAATGTACAACTCATACAGAGTTAGTAACAACTTGTCATAACTAAGCTTGTAAAATAATTAGCTTCTACCACTCTTGTTATGAAAAACTAAATAATCATTAAATATTAAATCCCTAAATAACCTAAATGATAACTCTTAAACTGTAAAGTCATGTATATTCAACACTGTAAATGATGAAATATCTTCCACTCACATTTTTAATAACAGGAAGTAGGAACTGGCTTATGTTTTCAGATGTACAGTCATGGATCTTCTCATATCTATCTACATTAAATTTAATAACACATAACATAATGTTTAGGGACAACAATCACTCTTATGCTATGAAATTAAAAACTGATTCATTACAGTTAATGTTATAATTTTCCTAAGCTGAAAATGTATTTCCGATTGAGAAGAAGGCGGGACCAGTGAGAGGGAATAACAGAAGCATCCCCGAAAGCATCCGAAGGATACCGCTGACCATGAGAGAAAAAAGATCTAGAGATCATAGGAGGGGAACTGCACCACTTCTGAGCCATGTATACTCTTTGCCCTTGTGTGAACTCCTAAAACACATGGGCAGAAATCGCAAGGGGTAGAGTGGCTAGGGAATGTCAAACTGTACTTGGCAAATCAACTACATCCAAAACTCCTCTACAGGGTATCGATATCCACGCATGGGTAGGATGAGGATTATACCATCTTTACCTACAACCCAAGGATTGGGTATTAAAATTGACGCTAATTCCTGGGTACTACACAAGGAACAACACCCTACAGCAATCCAAGACTGGCCATCCAGCATCGAGAGGATGGATTCAACTTGTGCGAGGACTGATGTTGATTGGTTCACTCAAATCCAACACCTTAATGCTGGGAACTGTCGTCCACACAAAAGTAGGATGAGGGCTTCCAATCAAAAGGGATGAGCTGTATGTGTGATGGATCAACTCCATGTGGTATGGAATGTATAACAGGAGGCCACGTCAACCATTAAGGTGATGGATCAACTCAACTATATGTGTAAATGAATAGTAGGAGGCCATGTGAACCAGTGATAGATCAACTCCAGAGTAGTGTAACTAGTATAACGAGGCCACATCAGCTTGTAAAGTGGTATATCAACTCCAGTGTTTGTGGATATTGTTAAATATGTAAATAGTATAAGGAGGCCACATCATCCAGGAAGGTGACAGATTAATTCCTGTGATAGTGTAAATAGTATCAGAAGGCCACGTCCACCAGCAAGGAGAAGGATCAACTTTTATGGAGGCCACGTCACATCTACATCAGCAAAACACCCCCACTCTACTCTTGGCTGAATGGTTATAACCAATTTGTTAGTGGAACCCATTCAGGAGGGTGCCTTCATGGTCAACCACCCCAGAGGCTTGGAACTGGAAAGTGGCAAGGACTCCCATACTCCACTCAAAGAAGGGGGTGAGAATTCGTTGGAGAATCTGGAGGAACGTCATCACTGGAGACAGTGCAATGGGTGACCACGATACCCTATTTTGAAAAGCAGACAGTACTGAGTTATTCACTCAAAGCATGACAAGGATTGGTAGCTATCCCCTTCTGCTTTATCCATGCCATCCATGGGTGGTATGGACATACTTGTGAAGCAACTATCGCGAGGTAGATAACCTTCTAAGGATCTTGTGGAACACCCCATCTCTATGGTGACCGTGTGTAGCTATGGATGAGAGAGCACGATTCAACATGGCTTACAGTGTGGATTTTAAGTGAAAGAATACCTGGTCAGTCACCACTCACCACAGAGCAGGATCTGTGTGAAAAAAGAGGGAATAAAGAAAGGCCCCCTGAAAAAGAGAAAGAAGAAGAAACTTACCAGTTAAAATCACATCGAAGTCTGGAGCACAGCCACAGATGAAAGATCAAACCCAGATGTGGAGGAAAGTGCAATGTTATGAAGATAATGGGAGACAAACGTACTGGGTGTGGTCCACATGCCAGCTTGGAGAATCTCCTCCAACAGATGACAAAGATGGGAAGCAAAGGAAAATGTGAGATGGCAAATTTGATGGGAGAACACATGGTACAAGGTATGGGAGGAAGAAGGTAAAGAGGAGTAGGTCAAATGGACCAGAAGGCAGATCCAATTCATAAGGGTAGAATGGAAAGATCACAAAGAGGATTGCCAGGAAATGAAAAGACAGTTGTGTTTACATGCAATATAACACTGTAGAGCCCTGATGGGACACAGCAGTCTATCAGGGTCTGAGTGAGGGTAAAGATGGTAGATAGAAGGTAAATAAATAGGAGAAAAGGAGGAACAACTTTATCGAGTTGTTGCAGTCTTAGGGATAAAGGAACAACCAGGATAAAGGAGACGATAGGTAGGATGATAAAGGGTACATGAAATGTAAACTGCACATAAATCAGATCGGCCACGTTTGCAAAAAAGGGCCAAAAAAAAGAAGGAAATAGGTCTTAAGGGACAAATGAAACAAGGAACATGAGGAAAGTGTTCAAAAGGAAAGAGAGTCAGGGCACAGAGGACCACATTAATGTCCTAATCTGGAAAGGGGGACGCCTGAGAGGACTCTGAATCTGGAAGGAATGCATTAGCATAGTAAGAACAGGGAAACTAAAAACCCTACAGTATCTGTAGAAACAGAAAGTATGGGAAAGGGCTGCTCTATATCCGGAAACAAAGATCTATGGACCGGGTGCTCCCTTGGTGGTTCATATGAGCCACCACCATAGAGTTGTCGGAATGAACTATCACCAGATAGTGACGGGCGAGAGAAAGGAAGTGAAATAATGCCCAATGAACCACCTGGAATTCGAGAATATTGATATGCAAGACAAGTTCGTCTGCAGACCAACAGTCCGAAGCTTCATTGTGATCGACCCAAGCCCCCCATCCCTGAAGGGCAGCATCTCTGTACAAATAAACATCTGTACGTGGGGGAGGAGGTGGCACACCTGCTGACGTATGGGCTTTGTTGAGCCACCACAGCAGATCGACTCTCAAAGAAGGAGGAAGGGAAATGGTGGCAGATAAAGGATCCTGTGCAAGGTTCCATCATTTGTGAAGTGTCCACTGTAGGGATCTCTTATAAGCAATACCAAGGGCATTACCCCAAAAGTGACAGAACCTCTAAAGCAGTAAGTGACCAAGCTGAGAAGGCACGGTGAACTAAAAGTCCCATAGAACTGAGGCATAAAGGAGAGGTAGACTGATGTTGGTCTCAAAGAAGACCCCCAAATGCATTAAGTACTGGGTGGGTCGAAGGACCGATTTCTCCCATTTTATCAATCAGCCCACTAGAGCTGCCACAGAAAGGAGTTAGTGAGTATGATTGGTCGATTCCTGCTCAAAATGAGCTAGAAGTAATGGTGAAACTGCAACCCCCAAAGTATGAATATGATGAGAAAAGGTCCGAATGACACAACAAAATGGTTGAGAAGAATGCTCATGCAACAAAGAAGGACAAGGGGAATAAGAAATAGGAGAAAGAGACAAAACATCCCAAACCTGAGATACAAAACCCATGAAAGCTGAGGAAGGCCTAGGTGAATTGTCAGGCTGGAACTGGGAAGGAACAGCAAACTTAGAAGGAGGAAAAAGATGATCAAAATCATTGTCATGCTGAACAATGTCAGCAGGCTCGGAAGGAGCTCGGGGTAACATCAGGGGACAAAGAGTGACCCAAGTAGCGTTCACTCTCCTGACGGACAAAATCAGAAAGGTCCACAGTCGGGTCACCTGCACCTGAGGCCTGAGATAGAAGATTGGTTGTAGGTGTGACCCCTGAAGTGGCAATGTTGACTTCAGAATTCATAACTCACTAAAACTGTACACAATTGTCTAGTGCAGAAAATCCATGATAATAAACTTGAAGAAATGTCGTAATAAATAACCAAAAAAAAAGATAGAACCACTTCAAACAAAATCAAAAATGTATCACACGAGAAGCGCAAAGCACAAAAGAAAATATCTGTACTTGAAAGCTGCCAAACGAGAAGTGAAGATTCAGTAGAGGAGTGTAGAGGGAGTCACATGCATCACGTGAGCATACTATGCTACTATTGGTTAATAGATGACACACAATGATTTGCATGAGAAACATGTTGGAATGTACTAATTACAACAAGAGGGGAGCACAAGGCTTGTGGCATGAGTAAAGAAAATGTTTGCATATAGAGGGCAGCATTGAATAAGAACAGCTAATATTGTAAAAGGAGGTAAGTACTGTATCAGAATCTACACTGTTTCCTAAAGAAGTTCAAGTTGAAGAGTATTTTAAAAGTGAAACTTAAGTATAACAAAATAGACATATATGTATATATTACAATCCACAGACACAAGTCTGCTGAAGTAACAGATCAGTAAACAATATTTTCAATGTCCCTCATTCTTTTCTATTTGGGGCTTAATCATGGAACATTTTGGGACTCCAAAAGAATACTCAAAGAATAATCTCGATCTTTCTGTGATGTTTTAAATAGACAATTCTTTTCTCAGCTTTGAATGTAGTTATCCCATGAATGTTTGTTTCTAAGGGAAATTCTGTCTTTTTAAGAAGCAAACAGGATGCAAAAGCTGAAACAAAATATTAAACATTGCATATTAACACAAGACCAGTACATAGTTCTATCAAAATATTTTTTACAAGAATACCACCAGCTGTTTATAGATGTCAGAAAATACTTCTAGCACACTCTCTAAAAGCTTTTTGGAAACACAGAGAGAATCACTCAAGATTTAGGACTTTTCATGGCTAGCAGTGTTAAGCAATACCATTGATGTGTTCTGGGTAGGGTATACTCCTACAGGAGCTACAAACAGATGTCTAAAACGTTTTTCTTTAAGCTGGTATGGCAAAAAAACAAAACTTATAATTCATTGATTATGATGAATCACCAATAATTTGTTTTAATTTACATTTAAGAATTCTCCTATAGATCTATATTTTTATGTTTTGATATAATAAAAAATAAAAAGATATCATTAAATTTAATGTAAAGATTGAGAAATAATCTAAATAAATGAAGATATTTTAAAACATAAAAAGTGGAATACAAAGTGAAAATACTTTCTTTAAAGTATTAGCATTACTGCTTAATGACACTGAGTTTGGTATAGATGTAAAATAACCTAACGTATTTTGCAAATAAAGAATAATGTATTATGAAGAATTACCTTTCATTTCAAAAGCCTCAACATCTGTTAACTTCCGTAGAATCTATAAAAAGCAGGTTATTTTTCAGTATATCTTATATTATTTTAAAAAATACAAACTGAAACATCTAGACTTTAAAGAAACATTTTTTGCTTATAAAATATATAAATTTATGGCCATGCAAATAAATGGTTAATACTATAATATTTTATAGTAAACATATAAAGAAATTAATACTGTGTAGAACCTGGGTCCAAGACACAACCTTATGCTGGTTCTTTACACTAGTGCTCTTTAAAACTGAAATTTATCACAGGCAGTTAACAATAAGTCTTCAGATTTCAACAAATAACAAACCCTAACACAACGATTGTTCTTTAGATATCAAAAAATAACAAACCCTAACACAATGATTGTTCTTTAGATATCAACAAATAACAAACTCTAACATAATGATTGTTCTTTAGATATCAACAAATAACAAACTCTAACATAATGATTGTTCTTTAGATATCAACAAATAACAAACCCTGTCCAACAGAATGATTGTTCATTAGATATCAACAAATAACAAACCCTGTCCAACAGAATGATTGTTCTTTAGATATCAACAAATAACAAACTCTAAAACAATGATTGTTCTTTAGATATCAACAAATAACAAACCC